TCCGAAAAAAACCCAAATACGGGACCCGAACGCGCCCGCGGGCCCCCGCCACCGCCCCCCGGCGCGGCGCGGCGTGGCGTGGGCGTGGCGTGGCGTGGCGTGGCGTGGCGTGGCGTGGCATGCTCCTCCGCACCAATACCAATTTTCAAACCTCGGATTCCAGCCGCGCGGAGAGGTCGGGGTGGGGAAATAAAAACATGGCCACGCAACGAGATATATGTATATCCTCCACACAAAAATCTCCTCGGGGCCCCCTCGCGTCGCCCAACACCCCCCCCTCCTCCCTCCGCCCAGCGCCCACTATTTCCGCTCGGATGGGTATCACATAAAGGGATTATAACGCAGCCCTTTTAATTTGATTGGTTTGCTGCGAGGGCGTGCGCGCGCAGGCCGGCCGGGCGAGAGGGGAGCAGCGACCCCTTGCGCCAAACAGTTCTATGCAGCGGCCGTGTTTTCCTTTTCAGCGCCGGTCGCCCCCGCGCGCCCTCTCCACGGCTCTTCAAGCAACTAATCCCGCGGTATCGACGCACAAAGAGCGCCGCTAATGGCATCACGTGTTGTGTTGCGTCGTGTTTCGCTAAATTGAATCAACAATTCGTTAGTGCCCTATTGAAAATCATACCTAAACATTGTTGTTGTGTTAAAATGCATGTCCGCGCCGCGCTCCCTTCGCAAGGCCCCAACCGGCCCACTGTCGCGGTCTCTAGTTGAGCCCATTGGAGCCTCTCTCCGCCCTTTCTCAGCTCCAGTCTCATTCTCAGCTCCAGCTCCCGTTCTCATCTACGGTCTGTATATTTCTATCTCGCCTATGAAGCATTTCTTCAAGATTGTGTTACCTTTCTCTTTTTCTCTTGTGTGTTTGATTTCTGCTGTGTCCAATCGTTCTTATACAGCACAATCACATGTTTTTTCAACATCTCTTAACATTTCCACATTGGCTAGCTGTATTATTATTTAAAATTTATTCACAAAACTCTCCAAAATCTATAAAAAAATTCATCAAACATATTAAAACTGTTACGCTCGTAATATTTTTATTTACTAATTTTAAGTATTTTCACATACTTCCGTTTTCTACAGATATGTCCTTCAGTCCATCACGCTTGTCTATCTCACGCGCATAACGTTTGCGTGCCTCTTGCCACTACTCCCACCCACAGTTTTCGAGTGAGCTCCCTTGCTCGAGAGCCAACTTGCTGAGAGCCGATCTGCTCGAGAAGTGTGAAAGCCGGTGGTGCTCTGATATGAACCGTCGGAAACTTTGATAATACGTTGTAAGCTTTGACAGATGTTGAGAAATCCGCAAGTGAACATGGGTTGCAGTGTGCCGGTTCCGATTTTGGACTTAGGAGGAAGTTCATATAAGGTACACTGTCTAGACGTATGAGAAGTAGATGCACGAAAGACGATAAGTAGAAATCAGGTGAAGGAGTTATATTAATAAGTTTTGTGCCGAGGGGCAAAGTTATTGATGAGGTGTTGAAAATCTTACTGAAGGTAGGATGAAATTTTTAAAACTGTTTCCAAGTCTTAAAACAAATATATACGAAACAAGGGAAATAAGATTTAAGAGAAAACCCCGACCTAATATTTACGTTCATTAAGTGATAAATAAAAATGCACGCATCAAATAACTTTGCACTTTTAACCAGTTCGAAAATAATATGGACTTTAATGTTGCATTTTGTAGAATCGTCAGTGCGATGAGCTATGTTAAAATTAAAACATAACGAACTAAAACTACAGTGGATATATATTTTTGATTAAATCTGTAGAAATTAAATTGTTATTCACTGAACCTGAGGTTAGAATAAAGTAATTCTATTAATGTTAAACAATTAGTGTTAACATATTTCCATAAAAAATCTCTAAATAATATATCGAAGCCGAGAAACGTTTCAGCTTTTTAACTAATGACAAGTGTAAAGGGTTTAGATTATTATTCGAAAGAAACTTCCAAACCACAAAGATACCGTGTGTGGCGCCCGCATCAGGTAATCCACTGTGAAGCGCAATATAAAATTCCCAGTTCATCTGTAATTCTCGCCCATTGCACCCGTGTGCTGGCGACGGAGTGCGTCGCAAGGCGCGTGTACGAGAGGTGTTCCCCAAGGGCGCGGCGGGGAGCGCGGCGCCCGGTGGGGCCTCAGAGGGGGCCGCACCCTCGGGCCGTCCCTTTAAAGGGCGGATGGCGGCCACCGAAGACGGAGGTGCGCACCGTCCCTGCCCGCCCGCCCCACCTCCGTCCCCTGCAGGCGCGGTGTGCGCAGTCCGCGGCGGAGCGAACCAACCGAACAGCGCGGTTGCGGAACTCGGAAAAAAACCCAGCGGCTGTCTGCACGCGCTGCCGGCGGAGTTCAAAGAAAATCCGTCCGGGGGCAAGAAAAATGTTGTGCCGAGACAAAAATTACTCTCTATTGTTTTGCGTATTTCTATTATTTTGTCTAGCTTCATTATCTTCCTATTGCGCCTCCACTTTCGTTTTTGTCTGAATGTTTTGTTTTTACTATTCAAAAAATGTTGAAATAGAACCAATTCTCGTGTAACGTGTAAAATCATGCTTGAATCACACTTTTGGAATTTATGACAGGTGTTTGACAAGATAAATTAAGTGTAATGTTTGAACTATTTTCTATCAACGTTATCATGAATTTGGAAATCATTTTTGCGCATGACGTGTGTAAATATTTTTATTATACACACAAAATGTTTATTATAAAATACTCATTTTCATAAGTATATATGAGGAATTTGATAATATGAGGGTCCTTTTGAAATCTGGAAAATAATAACAAAACGTACATGGTGATTATATAATGATTATACACAGTTGAAATCTCCATGTATTTAATGTGAAAATAATTGTAAGTGCAATTGACAACGTAAGCTAAAAGAGAAATATCTCTCTTTAAAAAAAAATATTTTTTTTTAAAAAAGTATTCTTCAGAGCAGTTTTGAGAATGCCTATACTACACTCACACACAACAGGTTATAAAACGCAAATCCCTCACCTAACAGATCCCTTTGTCACCTGGCCGATAAACGCGCATTTTTCACCTTGGGACTGCAAACAGCGGCGGCCTGTGGCCACGAGCGCAGTTCCGCCAGTGATGGGAAAGACAGACGAGCTCTCTTTGCGCGGGGGCGGCGCAGCACATCCCACCCCCGGGGCGCGCCCTCCGCCGGGGTAAAAAGACGCGCGCGACGCGCATTGGCGCAGCGACACCGGCGGTGGCGGCGGCGGCGGCGGCGGCGGCGGCGGCGCCAGCGCCAGCGGCGCGCCGCTGCTCTCTCATCGAACTGCATAAATATATGTCATGTGTAAACTCCGCCGGGGTAGAAACACATTACTATTTTGTTTCAGCGGGAGAAAAAACCGCGCCGCGCAGCCTGACCGGGCGCACTGCACATAGAAATCAACAAATAAATGTACCCACTGTTATTACAGTTAACATAGCCCCTATCCCATTATTTTGATTCAAATCACGGGTAAAGGTTTTTCAAAAGTGATACAATAACACGGCATTCATAAATAAACAACGATCTTTCAACAATATTCCTGATGTTAAACAAATACAAGTTCTTGTTGATGAATGCTAAAATTCCGCCCGCGCGAGTAGCGAGTGCACGCGTGTGTTTGTGTGTGTGTGTCTGTGTGTGTGCTGGCGACTGAATGCATACACACTCACACGCACACAGCTGCGTGATGTGATCACGCAATGCGTGTATTTTAGCTGGCGATGAGTCCGCACGCTCGTCAGGTGTGGGGTAATACAGCGTTCTTTAGAAAAGCGTTTCTCATTGACCTTTTTCCCCCATTGAAATTTAAAATTTCTTTAACAGAAGTTGTGCTGTAGTTCCGAAATGATCAATTACTATGATGAGAATTATTTTTACAATATTCCTCTTACTATTATTGCAGTAATGAATACTGAATATTAATGCTAATGAATGATAAATACAAGACCTTTTCTCTTTCCTGATGAATGACTGTTAATGCATAATGTGCCCGAAAAAAAATGTTGAGTGAATGCGTATGCTGAATGCTAGTATGAAATGAAAGATATTTATGGAATGTATATGGTACATGAGAATGAATGATGCGAGTCAAATAAAAGTTTTGAACAATTATCATTTACAATTTGTTGTAAATGCTAGTTGATTTTTGCGGTGTAGTTGCGACTGCTAATTAGATTTTTTAATTTTTGTAACGGAAGTTTGTGCTGGTGTTTAATTTGTAATTGAATAATTGTAATTCTTCTAAAACTAAATATTGATGGTGTTATTTAAAAATGCGTGTTTTCATGCTTCTATGAAACCCATCTAAATTAAAAATAATTGGTGGTAATATACATATAAATATTAAATTACCCTTCGTTAGTTATTCTTTCTGGGATATTTTGATAGAATACTGGCTTACAGAATTTTACTTTAATGAACGAGCCACGTAAACTTAAGTAGGTTTATATTTTATTATTGGCGAAATAATTACGCACCTTGAACAGAATTCCTACGCTACAACTTTTATTATTATAAAACATAAAAACCTTTATATTTAATTAAAACAAAAATGATAGCATAATAATAATAATAATAATAATAATAATAATAATAATCAGATTTTTTACCACATTGTCTATTATTGACAGGGCAACTAAGCAGAAATAAGCTTCCCATTTCGTAATCGCCCGATACTATTGCGTGCTGAAATTAACTAAGAATCGTTTTTGTAGCTAATTAGCAACTCAAGAACTGCGACACTGCGGTGAAAAAATGCGAATAATTATCATGGGTTTAAAGATCGTAAGAAACTGTTCGGAAAAGCAACCGTTTACTCTAAATGAAAGAGTAACACGACACATACGAGAGGATCCGATTTCCATTCGCGGTAGTTATTTCTTTGATAAGCTTAAACACCATCAATAATAATAATAATCATATTAATATTAATAATAATAACCAACACATAAATAAATAACCATAATAATAGTAAATATGTTATGATAATATAAAATAATAAACATAATACTACGTATACATTATCCAAAAAGTGTTTTAAAGATCACCACAATCACGAAATCTTCTAAGGAAATTACTTGTGCTGTGATGTAAAGTAGAAGCCCAATTATACTTTTACCGAACGTCAGAATAACGTTTTACTCAATAAGGAGAGTAGTCAGTGTGCGTTGGCGCGTGGCGTTGCGTGGCGTTGCGTGGCGTTGCGTGGCGTTGCGTGGCGTGGCGTGGCGTGGCGTGGCGTTGCGTGGCGTTGCGTAGCGCTTCGTAGCGTTGCGTTGCGTTGCGTGGCGTTGCGTGGCGTTGCGTTGCGTTGCATTGCGTTGCGTGGCGTTGCGTTGCGTTGCGTGGCGGGCGCTGAGGGAGCGGTGCGGGGCGTGTGCGCAGGTGTGGTTCAGCAACCGGCGCGCCAAGTGGCGGCGCGAGGAGAAGCTGCGCAACCAGCGGCGCGCCGTGGAGCAGGTGGGCGTGAGCCCTCCGGCGCCCACCGGCCGCCTGCCCATCAACTCGGGCTTCAACTCCATGTACTCCTCCATCCCGCAGCCCATCGCCACCATGGCCGAGACCTATAGGTGAGAGACTGCGCTGCTCTTCGTTGCGCGCCTTCTGCATCACTCGAAACGCGAAAACAGTTGCTCATCAGTATTGCACATTGAAATTGATACAATAAGTACTTCTATGTATTGAACGTACACTATCTAATATAGTCCTCTTCTTCTTCTTCTTCTTCTTCTTCTTCTTCTTCTTCTTCTTGTTATTATTATTATTTTATTATCATTATTATTTTTATTATTTATTATTTTTATTATTTGTTATTATTATTATTTTTATTATTTGTTATTATTATTTTATTATTATTTTATTATTATTTTATTATTTAATTTTATTATTATTATTAGATGACGAAATAACTTTTTAAATGCAGTAATGATAAAAAATAGCTCCCTCAGCCTCTCCGCTAAGTGGCTTTTCTCTACGTCCAACGGACGTCTGTCGATTTGGAGAGCATTGGAAAAGAAGTTGCATAGTAATAGCGACTTTTTGGTGGCAGTAAACATGACGACACTCTTATTTATCGATTATTTTGAACAAGAAAATATTCTAAATTTATTTAGGTCATGTTTTTAAATGAAATACGACTATGTGAACTGACAGAACCAATGTGCAGGTGACGTAGAAATCAGAGCACAAGTGGAATACAATAGATTGATCTGTTTCCAAATGCAATATAAATAATGCATGCATTTCTGCATTTCTCAATGCGATGTGACGACGTGATTATGTGATCTGAAAAGACGTTATGAAGGATATTTAGAAATTACAATTATAGGATTACATTTAAATAGTGTATGGTACATTACGTATATACTGCAAATGAAAATTCATTGTAACGACGTATCGTCATTGTATGACATTGCAACATCTTTATTACCGAATGTCTATGTTCACTTCGGAAGTCAATATCTTTCTTTTATATCTAAATATGAGTATCGTTGAACTTGTTTGTATTTCAAAAAACAGCGCACCACGCTATGTACAGACTATGACAAATCAGTAGTTACGATTCTGTTTGTTTACTTTGATATTTCAGAAAAAAGAAAGAAAAAACTAGCGGCGCGTTGTATTGTAAAAGTAAAGAGATTATAGTATAATCTGCTTTCTATTGGTATTTTTAATCGATGAAGGAGATCCTTACTCATTGATACGTTTACCTTTTGTTATAAGAAAGATGGCAAATATATTTTTTTTCAATACCGATACCTACAATGTGTATTGAATAACCAACATTTTCTCCCCCACTCGTCATACGTACTGAGCGTGCGTTAGGTAATATGTTAGAAGCGAGGTGAATCAATTCCAGAGAGAGAGAGAGAGAGAGTTAATGACAGCGGATGACCACAGTCCAAGAACTGTAATCACTCGTCTAAACAAAGCCTCATCCGCACGCACGCTGCGCAGTCCGTTCACACGTCTCGATAAACCTTAATCCCGTGGCGCGGCATAAACAGCCGCAGGCCGCAGGCGGCTGGCGCGCTGCGAGTGGCGTGCGTATGGCAAGGCGCACGTGGGAACGCACCTCACGCACCGCCCCCCCCGCCCCCGCCCCCTCGTCGCGACTCTATAGAGGCGGCTTAAACGATTTCACCCTCTGCTGCGAAAACAAAATGGGCGAATCAAGATTTCCTCATCAGCGCCGGCCCCGCCCCCGGGGCGAAGCCCCGCGCGGCGCCACCGCACTGTAAGTGCATTTCCGCCACGCACCCCGCCTCGCCCTAACCCGCCCCCGCGGCCAGGGATGAAGGAGGGCGCGTTGTGCCAAATCTGTCAATCCTTTTAACTCGCGGCCGCCCCGACGGCTGCGCGAGGGTCACCCCGCCTCGCGCTTACCTCTCTGCCTCCCCCCTCCCCTCCCCCTCCCCTCCACCCCCACCTTTCTCCGCGCAGCCCTCGCGTGCCCTCGCCCTCGCCGCCGTTTCTGTCAACGCACCTGCTGCTACTCGGCGCTCCCCTCGCATTATTCGACATTTCCACACATATTTCCACGTCCCCTCCGCTGCGCCGGCGCGCTGGGTGGCAGAGGAGAGGGGCGCGGAGGAGAAGAGGCGGGAGAGGGGCGAGAGCGCAGGCGCGGGCGCGGGCGTGGGCATTATGTTTGTTTCGCATTTCATTGTTTCCTCTCCTAACTCCGTCTATCAAATTTCCAATTACTTGACTGTGTGACGGTGCCTGTAAAAGCGCCTGTGTCTCCCGTTCGGCTGGCGCCCCGCCGCGCCCTCGCCCGCCTCTTCCCCGCCCCCGCCCCGGACTGCGGGCGCGCGCCGCGCTCGCTCCGTCGTCCCTACACAAACTCATTTCTCGCAGTATATAGAGCGCTTCCATTACAATCCCCCGCGCCCGCCGGCCCTTTGTCAATCTTGGCCCCTGGCCGCCCCGCCCCGCCCGACCCCGCCCCCTCCCACCGGCTCTTTCGCCCCCATTCGCCGCCCGCCCCCACCGCCACCTGCGCGCGCAACGTGCTCCCCCCCGCCCCCGCCCTCTCGCCCCGCCCCCTCCCCGTCACCGCAGCACCTGGTAGCGCGGTGCCCGACGTGTTTTATTTCCTCGCCGGCAGTCGACAATATTCCTTTCGCCCCGACATATATTATTAATACGTCTGTCGCTGCCATTTGACATCCGACGCGGCGCGGCGCGGCGGGAGAGATGGGGAGCGGGCGGCAGACGCAACGCGATGCGCCCCGCTTCCCGCGATCCCCGCTCGCAGCGCTGCTGTTGCTGCTGCTGCATCCGACCCGCTTATTTCCTGTGTGTGCGCGGCGCCAGTGTTTTTTTGTTTTGCGAATGGCGCGCCCGGCCCGCGTGGCGCCCATCTGTCTGCCGGTCCCCCATCCCCCGTGTCCCCAGCCACATCACCGGACGCCCAACCCTCTGTCCCGGTACATGACGCTGCCGATCTTAGAATTGCTCTTTCGTTGTATTCGGGGGTAACTTAATTCCGAGTTTACGTTTATGTTTCAAATTTCAAATGTTAAATTTAATTATGTGCACTAAAGAATGATGATGGGGGTGGAAATGGTTGATGGAAATAATTTGCTTTTGACACCACGCGTTTGGTATGTTTTTGTTGTGTTCGTATTTTTTATTAGTGTCGAGCAGTAAAATACTAGGTTAGCATTGTGCCATCTACATTCGGATAAGCCGCGAGATATATCAAGACGTTAAATAAGTTATCTTTAATTTAGGATAATACGCGTTGTTAACATAAATTCTTGTATAATACAATATGCATGACTTTGTTATTCTTCATTTTAGTTGTTGTGTTTTGATTTTCAAATTGAGTGGTCTTCCATCGGATTTCTTGGGTTCAGTAACGTAGGTCAAGTGGTACTGTTCCTGCACGACCCAGTGATAGGCAACCCACTTAACTCTAACGTAGCGCGGGTCTTCCTACGCATTTTTATGAGATAAACGAGATATATATTTATGAGATAGCTTTCGTTGCTAAATACACTATAAGGTAAACCATTTTACGTTTCCTGTTCATCATAAAACCACTATTAACTACTTTATTATATTACGTACATGTACTTATTTGAATTTCAGACATGTTATTATAGATTTCTGACACCCCTTGTTCTTACGTGCGGTTTCTTTCTAGGTAAACCTCACGTACTGAACTGTACCACCCAAACATTATATGACATATAATGACATTTGTCTCTTTGTACCGTTCGTTTCATTTAGATTATGTATTATTTCAACAAAAGTATATTATTTGTATTATTTTTCGATATCTAAAATTGTCCGCTTTTCATGTTATTCCGGGAAAAAATACGAGCGTTTATTCAAAAAAATGTTCTTATTATACGCGTACTAAGGTAGCAATGATTGTTTATACTTGCGGAGACAAATGGTAATTCATCATATAGGTGTTAATTGTAAAGGTGCATGGGTAATATAAAATAAAACTGAATTAGAGGAAAACCGCTGATTAAGGTACATTGTCTCTTTCTAGAGGTACTTTCAACATTACTGGACATTCTAGTGCCGTGGAGTTAATGCTTGTGACATTTTATCAATATAATACGTCCGTTAAACAATAGGCGATAGAGTTTAAAAATAATTATCGGCATCGTAGAACTGATATAAATTGACCTTCTTCACTACATACCTTTATTTTATTCCCCCCACCCTCCAGTTACCCGGGAGAGGCGGGAATTTATTTGAATTTCGGAATACATTATCTTCAACAACTGCATCCTATTTGGCTTGTGCTGTTAGGGAGGGCTTTTTACTTACAGACTGACTGAAACTATCTTATAACTCTATACATCCCCGCTTTGGGGTACACCACATACCATCCGCTTCACCCCCTCATATTCACTCACAACCACCCGGCGGCTAGCTAGCTCCCAGGCGATCCGCGAGCCCACCGACTCTCATGACAGCCCAAAGGCCTACTTGCCCCCCCCCTCCCCCACCCACCCACCTACGCGCCCCGCGCTGAGCGCTGCCGCCCCGCCCCGCCCGGCCGCTGGCGTTCCCAAACAGGCTGGCGCGCGTGCGTGAGGCGACGCGGCGTGGGGCCGGCGCGGCACGTGGGCGCGTGTCGTGTGTATGCGAGCGCGCGCGGACGTATGCGAGTGTGACGAGCGCCAGCGACGCTTGTGCGGCGACACGCGTGCGGAGCGTGTCCGTCCGGAAACGCCAGGCCCGCCCCCCCCCACCCTCCCACACCCCGCCCAAGCTGACGCGTCGCCCCGCCCCGCGCGCGCCCGCGCCCGAGGCTGCCCTGCCACACGTGCGAGCCCCGCACGTGCGCCGGCCTGCGCTCCTGCGTGACGCGCCGCGCCAACAGACGCGCGTTGTGCGGCTGCCTACGGACGCGGAAGGCGCGTCGTGCGGACGCGCGGTTACCTCAGGCCCAAAGACTAGCGAAACGCACCAAAGACGGGAGGATTTAGTTTTCATTCATAAAATGGATTTACTGGTGGCAATCTCGCGTTTCTTAATTGTGCAGTTGGAATTGGTTCCTGCAGCAATGAAGGAACTATAGCTCAGAAAGAAGACATAAACACGAATTGCTTGTTAGACACAAACAAAAATACAATTTTTAATTGTTATTTTGTTATTTAAAGAATGTGATAAAATGAAATTGTGTTGGCAACTCAGACTGACTGTTGGTGAATTGTGCAGTTGTAATTCATTTTTTGAATGTTCAGTGAACGTATCAATGTATCAATTAAAAAACTATTGCTTAGAAACTAGACATAAACCTGAATTTTCTTGATAAATTCTTGACTAAGAAAAATACAACAATTTTAATTATTATTAAAAAATTGCACAGAAATTAAGCTCTAAGTATGGAATAAAACGAATTGTTTCAGGTATTTTGTTTAAATATTTGTTGTATACTACTTAACTGAGGAAATTGAGCTATTTTTATTAGTTTGATTTTGTTAGAAATTTCTAAAGGTGTCAGGATGAGGCAAATTCCGGTTGACATCTCATAATCGTGCTTTGTTGAACTCTTATCAGAATATACCGTAAATATTACTAGTTTTCTCGTTCAAGGGTCACTTGAAAACAGTAGTATTATACATAAATTTTAGATAAGTTATTAAAAAGTAATTAATTAAATATTTTTGATTGGTAATAACGATAATTTCATTCTTATTGAATCGTTTCATACTCCACATGTAGAAACAAATTGTATTTATCATATTCTATCACGACATATTAACACAATTTAACACGGATATTTTCTCCCTGGAATTGCCGCATGCTATTAAAATTCTGGTAATTACGCAGAGAGAATCATTTAATTCCATTCATCAATAAAATTAATATTTATGTATGCATTGACGTTATATTTCGTGTGCTCATTTAGTACCAGTGCTTCACGATCCCAGAAAATGGCAATGAGTTGAGTCTTCGTACGTAATTCGGTTTCGAATAACCAATCATTCTTTAATTGGAAATGAGTTCTTTCATAACTAGTCTCCAAATAAAATCTTGTTTTTAATTACGTTAACCTAGATCATTTATTGGTGATACATATATTGCGATATAATAAATGGCCTTGCGATATTTATCTTTCTACTACTAGTCTTTTTTATAATTCAAAGGAAATAATTACCCTTGAAAACATTTTAAACATTTTAAAAATAGTTTAGCAATAAAATGGTATATGAGAACTTCTTAATTGATCATGGAAATGCAGAAATGCAATAAATGAACGCACGCACGAGATTGTCAAGTCGTAGATTTTCGTTACGTGTCAATATTGTGATGTTGCGATGTCATTTTATGTATAATAAAATAAAATATTACTCTCACAATAGATTCAAATGTGCAATGACTGTGGAACTGATGAACGGAATTTATAATAATAATAATAATAATAATAATAATAATAATAATAGACATTATTATTAATATTTTAAGATAATGTGAATAACGATCAAAGAAGATCCGGGGTAGTTCGTCCAGCGATTATTAATGGATTTTAATAGGTATATTATTTGAATCTTCTGTTGAAAACGAAAAAAACGAAAAAAGCAAGGTCTTTATAAATGAAATATTTCTCTATCATATAACGTTTATGTAAAATCTGTTTATTTACAAAACTACGGGCAAATAATTTATTAACGTTTAAAATGGACATTAGAAAACACTGTGAAAATACCACCAAAACGTTTGCACTCTTCAGGTCACCACGTCTAGAAAACTATTGCCCTATTATAAGGACCCATTTTTGATTTTCAAAGTTTTGTAATGCTGTATTAGGCAGCTTTATCCAATGATTTCCAACGTATTTCATTATGTTTTATATTCTTATATAATTTAGTTTACTTTATATTAATATATTTTTCATTAAATTTTTTTTATATTTAACATTTTAATTGGTTTTAGAATATATTGTATTCGTAAGTTCTAGTCTAATGGTTTGAGTGATTATTTCATAGTTTGTCGATACACCTACTAGGTCTGTCTTTTGTGTAACTACTCTGCTGACGTGGCATCCTCCACGAACGGATAAAAGTGTCTTGCGGCGTCTGACCCTCGCGTGCTCTCGCGTGTTCGCAGCTCCATGTCCAACAGCCTGGGTAGCATGAGCAGCAGCTGCCTGCAGCAGCGCGACGCAGCCGCGGCCGCCGCCGCCTCCACCTACCCGTACATGTTCCACGACCCGCTGCACTCGCTCGGCTCCACCTACAACCACTCGCGCGCCGTGGCGGCAGTGTCGGGCGTGTCGGCTGCCTGCAACCCGGCGGCCGCCCACTCGCAGAGCGCCATCTCCACGCACGCCGCCGCCGCCGCGGCCGCCGCCTCCTACGGCAGCCCCGGCGCCGCCGCCGCCGCGGCCGCCGCCTCCACGCCCAACGCCACCGGCACCGGTGAGTACTAACACCCGGCACCGCGTTGCCTTGGAAACGCCGCGCCCGCCCTCTGTTTTCTGCGAATGCCTGCTTGAATGCTTGCTTGCTTACCTCACTGCCTGCTCGTTGGCGCTTAACTACACCGAGAAAAAGACTGCTTCTTTCTAGATTTCCTTCCACCCAATTTGACTCAGTTTCATCTTCTAGTTCTGTGTTTTAAATCCCAATGCTACGTTAAGAAATATTATTTTTTTCTGGGTATCTCTGGAAACTACGTCTCAAAATAAATTGGTGGTGCTATGGAATGAAACAGATTTTTTCGTACTTTTCTAATCACTTTAGTCCATATTAGCCTTTCGACTTTGCTCTACCCTCTTCTTAGTTGTCATTTATTGGTTTTTGAGATATTGTCGTTTGAGCATTTCTAAAAATTTGGAGCTCATTGGCACAGAAATCATTGACGTTTTCTAGTAACTTGGTTAGAAATCAAAAATAAAAATTTTGTCTAAAAATGCTCGTAAAGTAAACGTAAGTAACCGCGAATTTTCGTAAAGTAAACACGACGTGAGAGACATTTAAAAATACATTTGGGAAATTTTTGAAAAATAAACTCATTTATCTTTTTATTTTCTTATCTGCCAAATTAGTGCATTGATTATCCGTAGCCAATTTTTAAAGAAAAAAATTTCTTTTTAGAAAATCTTGTTTTTTTAATTGCTATTTTCATGTAAAATCACTCGAAAACTAGTACATTATTTGAAATTATTATGTTATTAATTAAATACTAAGTTTGGAGAAGAAATTTCAATTGAAAGAAAAATCTATATCTTGAATATTTCGTTGAAAAAAGTCAAATATATGGAAATTTCGAGAATTGAAAGTGAATCGTCAAAAATTCGGACCTATGACATGTTTATACGCATATTTTACTCTATTCGTAGCAGAAAATGAATGAAAAAATGGAGCCACTCTTGAGAAAGTGAAAATATTTTTGAGCATTTTTGTGAAAAAACCTGAAAATGTAAAGAATATTTTTATTTTCAAAATCGCAGGGCTCTGATACAGGGCAGATTATCCAGGAATTATTCATTTTATAAAAATTTCTACGAATAGTTATGCGCTAGTGCTATTCAATGACAGATGGCCAGACGGCAGGCGTTTTGAACCAAACAACAACAATATTTCGCTATCAGGGGACTCCAAAACACGTATTTCCGTTAAAATCTCGAAATCGATTTTCCGCAACATTACATAACATTCTTTGTACTACGTATATTAAGTTCGTATATACGTACGAGAAAAAGGAAATTCATTGACTGAGAAGAGGTACGCAGGACTATCGTGATTCTTCGTTTATTACTACACAATACAAAATTTGTGACTCGTACTTTCTTACTGTGATAACGTACTGTGATTCATTATGGTGGCATGATTACGTATTCGCCATGAGTCATTTGTTTGATATTTTTGCTCTCTCTTTCTACTATGGATTTTCCCCCGCTGAAGACCAAAAGAAAAATAAATTTGATCGTTTACCACAATGTTAATATGCAATTTTCACCCATCATTTAATAATTTCACAGTAACTCCTCACTAATCATTATTTGTATCATGTCACGAACATATTTTTATGTGTCATTATTTCCCATAACCGTTGGACTTACAATTCCCTTAAAATAATAAGTTAATACTTTGTTAGACTGCAAGGAAAGGAAAGGTTCTTGTAATCGCTCTGAGTACAATAATTCGTGAAAGCTGCCATCTGGCGGAGATTTGGGAAGCCTCTGGTCTCGTCCCGCGCGGGGCCCTCGGGTATCGAGCACGCGCTTGCGGGGCTTCAAGTGTTGCAATGGGGGACGCATGGCGCATGGGAGGGGAGGGGCAGCGCGAAGGGCAGGCCGGGGCGACAGATGAGGCGGTGGGGGCGCTCGGGGGAGTCGGAATACGGGAATACCTACCGCCTTGGGGAGACAAGCAGACGTCAGACTAATGCTAATGCACGGAGAAAAGGAAAATTTTGTCTGCTTCGTTAACGGCACCAGACACACTTTATTTACCTTAAAAATAAGTTTTAAATATATTATATCAAGAGAAATTCAAGTCGATAAAAATCTTGAGTTTGTAGTTAAAAATAACTAACAATTATGAATGTGGCCAGAAAAATATATAGATGAATTAAATAATACAAAGAACCTAATAAAATACATTAGGAAATTATTTCGCAAATATCATTACACATAAGGAACTTAGAAGCAATTTAATTTGAATTAAATATAACTACATTTTCAGCTCTCTGGTCATTTCTTTGATTTTTTATTCACTGTTTAAGTGTTGTTACATAGAGGCGCAGATAAGGAGAGTCTCATGACACTCTCCCTCAGTGTGTAATGATTCGTATTAAAACAAATATTTTAATAATTTTCTATACAAACGAAAACTATTCAATATATGAATAATAAATGTTATAAATAGGGACTATAAGTCAACAAGCGTTGTGTATTCAACGTTAATGAAAAACGTCAAGTCGGTAGGATATGTATACTATACCTGCAGCCCTTCTCTTGGGAAAAGTCTTGATTGCCCCTCCTTTTATACGATGGTGTCAACTACGAAGTCCGTGCTACGCAAAACTATTCACGCATGTCAAAGTTATTTTTATGTTTGTTTTATCTATGATGGAAGATAATAGGATTTTAGTTCAATATTTTTTCAGTGATACCAGAAGTGTATTTCGGAGCGTTTGCGAGGTTAAAAAAATTGCGTAGGTAAATTATATAAACTCGTTTAAACGAAATGAAACAGAATTAAATTAATTCGCTGTCAGAGGGTCCCATGTTAAATAAAAACAATTACCTCCCCTGAAAACTGAAGGAAATTAATCATGCATTTTTTTAATACATTAAAATAACGAAAACATTGTGTCCGTGGTAATTACTAGCTGCAAACCCGCAGTAGCGTAATTCGCACCAACGCACATTAATAATGTATTTTATGCGCATATTGGAATTTATTCGCGACTTCTAAGGACTACGAAACTAGTCGCCGTTTTAACGTACTGTGAATTCAGAATAAATTAATTAGACTGTCTGATTCGATTATCATTTTCGAAGGATGGTCCAGGATTTATTTTGAGGCAGTAAATTTTTCAAATTATTTATAACATTTACATTATATTCATCAAATTTTAAAATGAAAAATTGACTGTCTGAAAAAAAAAGTTCTGGGCCATGCTCCTGAAACGAATGCCAGCACAACCGCGCAGACGAGGAGTGCCCAAGGACCATTGTCGGTCCGCCCTCGACTGGCCGGCGCCATCGCGGCGCTGGCTGCCATGCGCGCTGGGGCGGACGCGTCTTCAGATCGCGAGGGCAGGTGGGAGGGGGAGGGAGAGGGACGGCGGCGCCGACGCCGGCGTCCGCGACGCGTCACCCTTCAGCCGCAGCACGCGAGGGGGCCACCGCCCGGCACGCAGCGGGGCGGCGGCGTGCCAATTCAGGACGGCGGTGGCGCACGCTGGCGAGGGGCTGGATGCGGCGTTGTGGAGTTGAGGGCTGGCAGCAGAGAGGGGTTGCACGGGTGGCGCTTCAGCCGGTGGCGCGGTTCCGAACGGGTGCGTATGTGTGTGGTGTTGGGCGCCCACACGTGTACGGAGGGGCACACGGCCCCCGCCCCGCCCGCCTCCCGCTTTAAGAAGGGAGCGGAACCAGTGCGCCGGAGCCCTCACCATGCGCCCGCATGAAAAGCGCGATGTGCCGTTGCCTTTGTGAAGGGAGATCTGCACCACTGCCTAATTAACGAATGCCAAACGAGCGAGATGGGGTCCTACGTGCAAACCGCAATCTCGACCGAAAGACAGGCGAGGAATGCAGGTCATAAGAGGCTCGGGTTCACACCAATGAAGAATTAAACTTGCACTTGTAGAAAAAACTACGTGAATTAGATAAGAAAACAGGTGGTGAAGCTGGGTAAAAAGTATTATTTCCAAAACTCTGATTATAAATAGTTGAAAATTTCCATTATTCCAGTAGTTTCAAAAAACTTTTTATAGACGTTTTGATATATAAATTTTAGTATTTCGTTCTCATAAAAAAAAATCAGTCTTAGTTTTTTGATGATCGGCTTGTATGCAATCTCCAAATAGAATAAAAATATCACAATAAACTTCTGTTAGATACTCTACTTTCCTCACTTTAAAAACCCGTTACAACACGAGGAACCCTTTACTGATAGCACGATTAAACTAGTACGAGTAATGAACTTACTTCAGGTAATTAATGACACTACTTGATTTTACAACAAACATTGTTAGAATAAGAATATCGCAAGTGCTTCTGAAATCAAACTACAATTTCCTGTTTCTAGAGTTAAATTTTCATGTGGCTGTTAAAACAAGGCATGTGTTTTGAAAAAAAACCATTATCAAATTTATTACTTTTAGCACGTACTACTTTAAGTAGAGCTTTACATTTTACTAAGAAGTGCTTCTGAAGGGCAAAATTTTTACATTTACAAAATAGTTTAAAGATTAACAAAAGGCTGAAAATATTCAATTATACAATTATTTGAACGCGGAAATTCAGAAGTAGGGTGATGTTGGATTCCCGGGACAATAGCTTAGGCCTTATTTCCATCGACATAAGAAACATGCAGTCAGTGGATGATTGTGGAGTAGTCATGGTGTGCGATTGGATTATGCCACACAGCGCCGTAAACAGCCGGCCGGTCCGCGTCGGCCACGGCGCCCTCGCGCGACGCTCGCGGGTCGCGTTGCGGCCTGCAAAGGGACGCGAAATTCGGCGGCGCGCGCCGAGAGGCCGTGTTTGGCGCCGCCGTCCGCTTTAAGTCATCGAGCCGCCGTGGAGGGCGGGCGAGCCGCGGCGGGGAGGGCTGGGGCGAAAGCGGGGTGAGGTGGAGAGACGGTGCGAGGTGGGCTGAAAGTAAATGTGGGCATGGGTGGGGAATACGAGCGGGGCAGGGGATGGGGCTGGGAGCGAGGTTGAGGAGCGAGGTCGGGGCAGAGTTGGGTTGC